TCAGTAAAGAAAAAACAAGGCAAAGATGTCCAATGTACAAGAAAATACATCAAGAAACAACTTTCTTTGAATGACTGGTTGAATACTAGTAAACCATGTTTATTAACTGAATAACATTCAGATTTTTTTATAACTATGAAGAACGTAGGAAAATTTCCCTAGCAACGTTATTGAGAGAAAAGCGTGAATCAATTAAAAAAATGTTTGAATTTTAAAACATTTATTACATTTTGACATCTGTCCTTCAACAGAATTATCGTTTTAAATCACTTGTACAATCAAATGAATGTCCATAAAAGGAAGAAGAATTCAAAACAGATTCTGTAAAGATAATAGGAATGCAACGTTGCAAGCCTGAACTTTATTTAAAAGGATTACATGCTCCGTTTTGCATCGTAGAATAATTCTCAGATCCTGTTTAGTTTCTCATACCTTATAATAAATTGTTATTAATTTACTTACCTGTTAATTAGTTAATATTACAACTTCACAGTTTGATTATTTTTCTTCAGACAGTTTTCTACGATTCTCTATGAATTACTATATGTCACATTGAATAATTATCTATAAAAAACTGGACGACTTCGGTACAGTATATTATTTGAAATAAACCTTTCTTTGTTAAATAATCTTTATCTTTTTACTAATGAGATCATGTGATTCACTTTTTGAACAAAAGAATAATTGGGATCATAGGAATATTGGCGCTTTGTCAGTTATAGTGTGTTATAGTCTAAAGTGTATATTTTTTATAGAAGCCATCTCTGGAGTAGATATAGGAAATCACATAATGATTTACTGTTATCAAATTTTATCTAAGACACTGTTTAACTAAATCTATAACTAAACTGTTTCAGCAAAATATCTATCTTATTTGTGAATTTCATATCGTACACCTTCAGTTCCTCCGAAAAAGTTCAATAGAAGAAAAACACCAACTACTGGGTCATTAAACTCTAAAACAATCTCACTATTAATCAAAACAAAACGTTATGGACGTTTCATTAAGGTCTATGAATACACTATGAGACTAACATATACAAACATAGGTCTCAAATAAGTAGATAATAATTCCATTCTTGCATTGTTTTCACAACTGGGAAATAAGTGCTTTAACGGGTTGATTAAATCATTAAGACTACTGAAATCAGTATCCTAATCAGTGATATTATGAACTTAAAGATTGATTGTCAGAAACATTAAATGCTGTCCAATTGATAACAGACTATTTCAAGTTTTAAGCAGTTTACATTGTATGAAAAAATTATTCTCAAAACTGTGAAATCTAAATAATATATACCTATCACCATGAATAAATATATTCTTCTTTCAATTCTGTCACGTAATGTAAATGGTTAAGCATTATGTCAGTTTATAGATGAACTCGTTTTCAGTCGAATTCAAATATAGATATTAATCAAATCAGAATATTTGAAAACATTTGTTAATTAGTAAAGCCTACAATAGAGAAGCGTCCCATCTGAACAATCCAATAGTATTATATATATATATATATATATATATATATATATATATATATAGAGAGAGAGAGAGAGAGAGATGACCCCCCGTATTGTAAAAAAACCAGTTATCAACAAAACCTGTCACAATAATTTAAACATTTTATCAGCTGATAACAAATGGAATGATAAAACGCTAATCAAATATTTCAGTAAGTGAAATAAGAATTGTCATAACTTAAAGAGGAACATTTAAGTATAGGTGTAACGTAATTGTCGTAAATACGGTAACATATGTCATATTTATTTACATGAGTATCAGAACAGATATCCCTTGATTTTTACCAACAGTAACAAAGTATTTCGCGTAATCACATGTCAAAATAGATTGCCATGCAACCGTTAGTTTACTCTAAAGCCAGTATATTTGATATTAGTTTTTTTCTTCTGTTATTATCCCTTCTAACAGTATTAGCATCATCATCAATCAGTGATAGTCATTAGAAGCTATCTAAGTAACTTATGTTGCTATACAAAATATATTTGGCAAACAATATGTCCATGGTATTTTTAAAAATTTTTAATTAATTTACTCCAGAAAAACCTTTAAACTTCGTTTATTAGGAGTCTATGATTAAAAAAAGATGATGGTTGTAAAACTAGAACTGCCAAAAAATGAATTGATTGTATGTATTATATTAAGTATTATTAGATTAACCAGTATACTAAATATTAATATGACAAGGAACAGCTAATCGACGAATGTTAGTTTAAATTTTATTCAAGGTGAACTAAATTTCAGAAATAAATAAACCACAAATTCAGTCAACATTGAAATGACGTTTTCTTTCAGTAAACTAGAAACTATTTGATTATAAGAGTTTGTATTTTCCTGTTATTCATTTTATTGACGGAAATCAATCATATTTTTGTTCCGTATCAACAATGGAAAGAGTATATCGAAAGGTATATCGAGGCAATACGCACAGTATGCACATATGCCAATTAGAGACTGACCAGTTGCAGTCCTAAACACATCGATGGGAAGATCCAAACAAACAATACTAAGTGAATGGAAAGAGTAGCTGAAAATAATCGCATATCAGGTTAACAATTAAGTGGTTGTAATGGGTTTTTACAGAAATAAAAGCTGATGCTTAAATCGCTGGGTACACTGTTCGAGTATCTCTTTATAAATCATCACCAGGATGTAGATAAATTTAGTTGATGAGCCTTACATAGAATTAAACGCGTGTTCTGTAATTCACTATCAACCGAAATCGTCATTTACTAAAGAGAAATTGGCTCTGTAACGTTCCAATCATTTCACTTTAATTCATTGGCCATTATATCCTCATGTCATCTACAGTTATATTATTGAACCTAAATATAACGCTACTTCCAAAGTCTGAAAAATATATACAACTAATGACATTGTTAGCCTTTTTGACGATATCATTCTTAGACAGAATCTAAAACAAGCCGAACTTTCAGTGAACAAATGGAATACAAAATATGAAAAAAAATGTATAAAGGAATTATAACAGATGAAGTATGACAGCAACGTAAAGAGTCTGTTTGAGTTTTAGAGGCTTAGGAAATCAAGTAGTCGCTTTTTGATTCATTATTTTAAGAAGACAGTTTATCCTTTACGACAACCAATGTCATTATTTGTTTAACTCTCAACTATTAATGAGCCATTGGTTTTATCTTACGAGGGAAAATTAGTTATAAATGACTTACTTGCCTACTTGACAATTGTGATTGAAAGTAAATGCCTTTTTTCTCTAATTTTGAAAGTACAACTTTAATAATACATTAGTGGATATGGTTTCTGATACAATACTTATTTTGTTGAAATCTATGCTCCGAAGCTCTCCTGAAAACTTTGTTTAAGTGAAATTCTACAACAGAGTATTTAATAAATACTAGGTAGGTAGGTAGGTAATTAGGCATGATACGATTTATGAAGTTTTAATACTAACTTTGCACTTGTCAAAAGAACACAGTACTTTTGTCTTGTTACAGCACTCTAAATTTCCCATTTAGGTATATAAGTGTCTGTTGAAAAGATTAATCTCTTAATTGCTTCCATAAATTTCGAATACGTTTTCATAAGTCGAAAATTATTCAAAGCTATTGAGATCTGGTAATTTTATCTGAACTATTGAGATCCAACATTATATTTGATGACTTCTCTTTAACAACAGAAATATGAAGCCTTGTTACACAGAAATCATCTGGTAACTGCCACAACTTATAGATAAATTAAACAGAATATAAAGTCAAATATATATACACAGTATTTACAATCCAGCTAACAGTATTTATCTACCTATATTGTGAGCTACAAAATCAGATGTAAACCATTTATAAGACGGAACTAATCTTAATTGATCAATTAGTTACTAGAGCTAATGATATCAGTCTTCGATAAAATGAGAGAAAAACATGAGGATAGTTGTACGTTGATCAAACGATCAGAATAAGCTGTCGCTTTCTCCTCTCCCTGTGTGCACTTACCGGTTCAACGTAGAATTTACAACTTTCTTAACTTCAATATAATACACATTAAGTCAACATCAAGTTATTAATCGTAGACTACGTAACCTGTTTTATGCTACATACATATGGCAGAAATCAAGGGAATTTACAAATATTTGCCTAATCCCGACTATCCATTTAATTCAAAATTACAATCATTTTTAGCTTTTGTGTAATATACTTATACCATCAGTCTTTTTAACTAATAAATTGATTAGGCTTTCCATCCATCTTATTATTTAATTATTACCAATTTCTTTTATGCAACTCTTAGTGAACATTCATACTGAGGTGTGGGCTACTTATATCCACACAAGTAGTATATAACGATGGTTGAGCACTGAATGTATTTCAGTAGAAGGTCGATAAGGAAAGAACGAAAACGAAACGCAAATGGTATGAAAATGCATGAAAAATAATAATCGGAGACTATGGACTGAATGAATGGTCAAGGTTGAGACAATTGATTGATAATTTGCAAACTAACTGTTTACTGTATGGTTGTCAGATTTTACTGAGATATTCTGTAATTTCGTGCTTCAATACATTCGACTGTCCCCACCCGTGTTCTTGTTCACTACACCTCAATATGACAATCCAAATGCAAACCAGGATTTCATGATTCAGTTTAGAAAACTATTAGGAGACTTTTACGAAATAATGATAAAAATACCTAGAACACAATGTTGTTTTTTAAAACAAATAACAGTGTTCTAGTGCAACATCCCTGTTCATCACCTCAAATCATATAAAATTTTTGTTTCATAAAATGTTTCACTTTTTCCTTTGGAGAAACAGTTCTATTTAAGTTTATCTTCGTTTATCATAAATATTAATGATTATGACATATAAATAAATTAATATATTTTTAATATCCCAATGAATAGAAAAATTAGATCTTATAACGTTTCGTAACTCAGTTTAAGCCACTTCTTCAGAGAAAATTATAACATACTATTTATTCACAAATATCATTTGCATAAATTATATACTTACGTTACTTTAGAAAAAAATGATTGATTTTTATTTACTTTCCAAAAAACAAAATATATCAATGTATAATTAAATATTTTTGTTTGCTTTTTTTATTTTTTTTGTTTTTTTGTAAATTTACATATTACAGAAATGATAGTAATAGTAAGGGTAAATATAACTTGTTTGTATTGTCGTTAATTAGTAGTATGGTTAATTTGAGATCACTTTTTACATTGGGCTAAACAGAATATTCATATAATCTGTTAGTAAACTTCATCCTGATTTTATTCTTAAATCCCTTTATCTTTTTTTATCAATATGAAATAGAAATTTGGGAACTTGACTGATTACACAATCTCATTTTAATGGTTACTTTAATCATATATGTTATTATGAATGAAATATTGAATAAGGATATTATTATTCTATTTCGATAGGTTATTATTATCTGAAATGTGATTGGTTAAAATTAAGAAAGTTTCCTCTTTTTTTAAAAAAAATCTTTTCTGTATTGTTCTATATACAATAATTTATACAAGTATATTAGAAAGTGAATTATTCATTGAGTATAAATTATGACAAAATTTTTACTTAATTTTGGACATTAGGGAATAGTACTATTCATTTAGTCTTGTTTATATTTGAAAATAATAAAAGGATAAACGAACGGAATATTGTATTTCATTAGAATTGACATTCTTATCTATCTGTCATAATCTTTAAATGAATTGAAATGAATTTAAGTGGAACCTTTTTAATAAACTTTGTTATATTAAATATATAAGAACTTTTGTTTAAATGAGAGTGAATAGTTTCACAGTATTTGGGCGCTGAGTTGATGTAAGACATTAAATAGGAACAATATATTTGTAAAATCTCAGCTAGTGAATTTGAAGTAAATTCAACGTTTTACCTGGCAATCTGGTCTAAGCTTTTTCAAATTTCAATGGTTATTTGGCATTAATTTACATTATAAAATAATTATGTTCATATATTAAAAATATGGATTCGAACCCATGATTCATATTCTGAGATGTTAGTAAAAGGTTATCTTGCTAATGAATCCCATCTAGCATAAGACCAACATCCAAGATTTCCTATAAACTATCTTGAAATATCTAATATCTCAATAAAGCCCAAGAGATATTGAATCATTTGGACTAGTGAGGGAATTGTAACTTATTTCATAGAGTTCAAACAGAATCAATTTAATGCATAAACGTTACGTAGGTTACTAATAATTGTTCAATTAACTGTTTTTAACAGTCTCTAGAACAACAGTTAAAGCACCCTATACTCACATGGGAATAAAATAATCAAAGACTAGACAGGCAAATAAAATATGTCACTTTTTATAAATAACTCAAATGAATGATCAATGGTTCATATTATTTTAAACATACGAATTTGTATGTTCAATCTATTTTTATTATAAATCAAAGTATGCATTAACTAAGGTCTACTGATGATCATATCAGATCATATTAATTAGTTTTCATTAGTTTATTATTAAAAATAGTAGAACTAATCAATATGAATTCAGTAAGAACAAAATAGTCATGCTATAAATGATACAAAAGAAGGCTTTTATACTAGCTAGTTTTAATACCTATAAAATTATCCAATAAAAGAAACGTAACGAATAGTTAACAGAGATGGATAGTGGCTAGTAGTGGAATCCAGGACGCGCGTTTCATCCTATTTGGGACTCGTCAGCTGGATGTACCTGCATCTCAGAGTTGATGTTCACTCTGGGATTCGAACCCAGTACCCTCGCTTCAAACGCCATCACGTTATCCACTCGGCCACTGAGTCCTGATAGCCACTTGCTTGTGCGATAGGTTGAAGTTTAAATTCAACTTAGTATTGTTTGTTTGAATCTTCCCATCGATTTGTTAGGACTGCAACTGGTCAGTCTCTAACCATGCTTGTGAATTAAGGTATATCGAGGCAATACGCACAGTATGCACATATGTCAATTAGAGACTGACCAGTTGCAGTCCTAACAAATCGATGGGAAGATTCAAACAAACAATACTAATTTGAATGTAACGAATAGTTGTTTTGAAAAAAACAAATATGTTTGTAGATGACATTTTTTTAATGGTTACTTAATTGTTAATTTGTTTGTAATGTAAAAATCTAGATTTCCTGAGTATTGTTTCTTCTAGTCTTCAATCTTAACTTTTGAGACTTATTGGTCAATGAAAGAAATAAATAGTAAAATCATCGTTTGGATTACAATCAACAACAAAACTCCTATACTACACTTGATCATGTCACAAGATCTTTATGTATTCAATCGTACATAAAACGCATTTTACTACTTGCATGATATTGATATTCTCCCTAATATATCTTAATGAGAAATTCGTAAACTTGAACCTTTCTTAGGTTTCATTCATTTATCTCTTGTTCTAATTATTTTTTTATGCTAACAAACAGAAATGAAATTTTATGGAAAAGCTTCTTAAAATTAACAAGCACCCAAAACCATAAATCTAATTCTACAAGGTGAAATCAACAATACACAGAAAATGCACGAAAATACAAAGCTTTCTCTCTTTTCGATCAATAAATGATCCTCAAAAAGTATACTCCTGATTAGATAGGAAAAATAATTATCAAATAATTCAATTTCATTTCAGATTTCTTCTATTCAACCAAATAATTTACAACCATTTAGTCAAGAAAAAACAAACTAAAAACGTCAAGAATTATTAATGAGATTCCCAGTTAAGAATGACAATAGTTGATATCCATAATGATGATTGATTAGCTTCTTGTAGGTGATCAATTGCAAAACTATCGATCTACTTTTTTTTATAAACTATTATTTACTTAATATATCACTATGAAATCAATTTGTGAAAATCTTGATACATTTTTTTAACAAATTTTATTAAAATATTTTGTTTAGTATAAAGATGTTGAACTGATCTATTTTATTGGTTCAAATATATTTCATAGTTATCCATGTGAGTAGACGTTAACCTGGAAATAACTGATTCACACGTTTTCATCTGTTTTTTCATTTTGTGTTACATTTTTGAACTATTCCGGTTATGTTAAGGTAGACTAATATTTTCGAAATATGATGAATATATGATTTTTGGTTGAATTCACAATATTACTGACCTCGCATTTTAAGGTCATATATTGGGAGTTTTTCGGATAGATCTTGCATATGATAAATGTATATATTAGAAACTGAATTGTATCCATCAATGATTACTTAATCAAGTATCATATAAAATTGAGTCAACAGAAAATAGTGAAAATATCTTATTGAAATTTGTTTCAAAGTCTTGGATGATAGAAAATTTTAGGGTTAATCGTAAGTGATTTAAATATCGTACAAATTACGACTACTTCAGTTTGATGATACTTTAACTCCTATCATGTAAGAAAGAAAAGTAGTTCGGTGTCAAGTACCCTTTCAAATAATGTATGATAACGAGAATGTTTGATTCGTACTCAATCAATATCTCTATTAAACAATCAAAACAGTTTTACTACAAATTAGAAATATATTATTATCATATTTGAATTCGGATACAATTTTCAGCATTATGTAGTGAAGATTGAAATTATTGAAATTATGAATCGATCAATGTTAGACCATTATTGAAAACATTGAAGCCGGCTGTTCAGTACTTCCAGATTTTCAGTGATGGTCTAACACTGATTAGTTCATGGAAATTTAAATACAGTTATTGTACTGGAAGTTGTTTGATATGATCCAGTATTTATTTCAATTTAATAAAAGAGTTTTACAACTATACTTATTCTTAGTATAATCCAATGATCAATAATTATCTTTATAGTATTATAATGTTTAAAAATATTTTTTTCTATGATATATATATTTTCAGTATAGGGTTGTGGATATTGTTGAGTTTTAATTGAAATCAGCAATCGATCAACGTTATTCCACCAGTGAAAAGCTGGAAGCACTGAACAGCCGTTTCGCCCTAGTATGAGGTTGATTTTCAGTGCCCACCCACCACCCTGCACGCGGCATTCAAACCCAGAAATCTCGATCTCTCGCACGAACTTTTAACCTTTAGACCCACCGAAAACAATGGAAGATGATCGCTCAATATCGAATTAGACATTAACACTGTTGGATATCTACCAGTTAAATGATCTTAAGCTTAAGCATTTGCGAGCGAGACCGATAGTCCTGAGTTCAAAGCCTGCATATGGGACCGTGAACACGCACCACTGAGTAGTACCATACTAGGATGAAACGGCCATCCAATGCTTCCAGGTTTTCAACTGTGGTTTAATATTGATCGGTTTATGATCTTAATTAAAGATTTTTATTCATTTCTTATCATTTGGATGCTCACAATAAATAAGTATTTGAATATCATTTAGTGGGATAATCGGACGAGTAGATTTGAAGTAAGCCGTGAAATCTAGAGCGCGCACTGAGTCCTATTTAGTACTCATCAAATGGATGTGGTTACAGCTCAATCACTTTTGATTAAAATGTCTAACACAATGATCTACTGAGTTCAGACTATCACTAACTTGTTTAGTAGAAATGATATTTATATCGTTTAAAATTATAGTATGAATGGTTACCTTAACTGAATTTTAATCAAATCCATACTTATAATGATACATTTTGTTTTGTTTAAAATTCCTTCTTAAATCTAACAATCATGCTTAGTTTTAATGATGAAGTTCCATTTTTACTTGATCAATTCAGTGTATAAAAAAATCTAGGGAAAGTACAAGGATTTTTTTCTAAATTGTTATCTAAAACATTATACTACGAAACGTTTATACTAAGATACTTTAAATTAAAAAAAAAACTAAAAGTATCTCAATAAATTCACTTGGTATTGTTTGTTTGAATCTTCACATTGATGATTAGCAGAGCAATTGATCAGTCTGTTATTGGCATATGTGCATACTGTGCGTACTGCCTCGAAATAGCTTAATTCACAAGCATTATAAGCAAAGATGGATAGTGACTGGCAGTGGAATCCAGGACGCGCGTTTCGTCAAATTTGGGACTTCAAACTTCACCCCATTGCACAAGCAAGTGGATATCAGGAGTCAGTCTCGCATCAGGGAGCTTAACCGATGGGCCACTGAGCCTGCATCCAACGGTTAAGTGCTCTAGCGCAAGACTGACAAGTCGTGGTTTCGAATCTTGCCAGGTGAGATCGTGGATGTGCACTGCTGAGGAGTCCCATAGTAGGACAAAACAGCCGTTCAGTGCTTCCGGGTTTTCCATGATGGTCTAGCTTCAACTGACTCATGATTTCGACTATAAGAATTACTTAATGTCTAAAATTGATTTTTTTTTCTTTGAAATAAATAAACCCATTAAATAAAGAACAGTGTTTGTAAAGAAGTATAAATGTAATGATTATTGTAA